AAAAGACCCTGATGCTGGGAAAGATTGAAGGCAAAAGGAGAAGAGGATGGCAGAAGATGAGTTGGTTAGATAGCATCACTGAAGCAATGAGCATGAAACTGAGCAGACTCAGGCAGTGAGGGACAGGAAGGCCTGGCGTGATATGGTTCATGGGGTCACAAAGAGTCGGATACGACTTAACAACTGAACAACAACAAATGCTTTATTAAGAATTCTGCTCTGTTCTTAGAAGACCAAATAAATATTGACAATATAGCTCTGCATTTGTATTCCATCCATAGTCCTTTCCAACACCTGCTTGTTCCTTGTGCTAATCAGTCACTCCCACCTCCTTCCTTCTGCTCCACCCCATATTCAGGAACAATAGCTGAGACCAACTATCAGGGAAGACATGAAGCAAATCCATGGTATACAGTACATGCCAAGCCAGGAACCTGGGGCTGATGTCGCAATCAGTCTAGCATGGTTGTGCATGACTGACTTTTTTTTAAAAAAAGCTTAAAATATTCATGATTCTAAGTGGTTCATCACACTATATTCAACCAAATTGAATTTGTTCAACCAAATTTGCAGTTATTTTCTGCACATTTTCATTACTCAATAGTGCTTGCTGCCACATCCACTGTTAAGCTCCACTTAAAAGGTTAACATTTAGTAGTGAGATGAACATTTTTGTTTCAAAACCTTATTTTCTAGAAAATTGGCACTAGAAAACATATTTCTGTTTCATTATTATGACACATAAAACTTTATAAAATTGTCGTACTCTTTTTTTTTTAGTCATTGGACATGCTGAAATATGTAATGTATTTCCAGGTATATAGTAGTATTTTTTCTATGTCATTTTCAATAGGATTTTAAGTGTATTTGCAATAGATTCATATTTTAAATATGCAGTAAGTTACCTGCAACATAGTACAATGAGCAACAATAATTGGATTTCACAAAATCCTTTACACAGCTATGATGTGGCAAGTCAAACTATTTTTTTTAAAATATTTGTCTTTTCTCTTAATTTTTTAAAATAATCCTAAATAAATATAAGCCTCATTATATTGTATCCATCATTTTAATTTATTCATCAAATGTACATGGTAGCAAGTTACAGGTAATTATAAATATCTGTGCGCATGTATGTGCCTTCAAGTCAGTCTTGACCCCTGGTGACTGCCTGGACAAGTCCCTGAAGTTTTCTTGACAAGATTTTTCAGAAGTAATTTGCCCTTGCGTCCTTCCTAGGGCTGAGAGAGAGTGACTGGCCCAAGGTCACCCAGCTGGCTTCGTGCCTAAGGCAGGACTAGAACTCATAGTCTCCCATTTTCTAGCCTGGTGCCTTAACCACTATACCAAAGTGGCTCTGTACCACTCTCTATCTGTACTATCTATACCACTTTCCTAACCCAAAGAATTAGGATAAAGAACAATAAGCACTATAATCAGAACTAGAGTGGAGCTTCAATGGATGCCTGCAAGATTCCCATATGCCATGAAGTGACCAAAATAATAATAATGGATAAAAATGCCAAATCCAGTCTAAACATCTGGCTGACTATGCGACCAATAATGAAAATAAGAAAGACCAAATGAAGAATAGAAAAGAGACATGGCAAGGCAGAGTATTACATGGCCAGTACACAAAAAACTAGCAGGCAAAGCAGATAACAAGAAGACCTGGCAATGGCTAAGAACAGGAAAGTTGATGAAAGAGACAGAGGGGCTAGTTCTGGATGCACAAGACCAAGCT